TTTTTTTTTTTCCTTTTTTTCCTTTTTTTTTTTTTACTAAACAGTATTTTTCCTTCTTTTATAAACCAGAAAAACTAAACTACAGATAAATTTTCCCTACCTTGAGCTAATGCTGCAGATAGGGTTGACAAAGCTGTACAGCGCAATCAAACATACTTACATCTTAGCTCATTGTACAGGTACAGCCATAATCAAGGCACAAAGATCTTCTACAAGTTATTTTCAATAAAGTTGTACAAAATAATACATTTTACAGTCTGTACAAGAATAATAATCCAGCAGTAAAATAAAAAATGAGGGAAGGGAAGAAGAAAAAGAAGGGAAAGACTGTGAGGACTACAGTCTAGATAATGATTTTTAGAGCAGACGGGATCGTCAGTGGACAAACTGAAAACAGTGTGTGGTTAACTCTTTCTGCAATCACAGGCCATACGCAGTTCAATTCATAAATGTCCATGGTTGTCTTTAGACCACCAAGACTGGTTTTAAAAATACCCTTCTGAAAGGTAGCAGTTGGTTTTTGCACTGTCTAGGTCTGTTGGAGAATTGTCAGTATTTCCGCCCAAAGCCACATTACAGTCAGAGAACCAAACTCAAGGGTCTGTCTTCAAACTTGGTCTGTGACTTGGCACCTTCGTTACTCGGATGCAGTGAGTGATACAAAGTGGAGATCACGGGTTATAGGATTATGCCCACAGCAGTGCTAAATTACCTAAAGTTTTCTCTCCCCCAATTTTTGTTTCAACGTTTTAATTTTTTCATCCCCAATTCTTTCAGGTGCTCCACATTCAGGGCTTTTAATTAATTAGGTTTTATTTTTTTGTTTGTTTGTTTGCTTGGTTTGGTTTTTTTTTTCTCTCTCTCTTTTTTGTTAATAACAGTGTTAGGGAATCCTCATGGAAATGGCCTTTTAAGTGTTAGGGGCCATCTCAAACTGTCCGAGGGGTACAGAAGCAAGCTTAGAAGTGCTGCTATTGTCCAGCAAGGAGAAAAAGTTGAGGGGTGCAAATCAATGGGAGATTCAAACAGTTCTCTTCCACCCTATGTGGGCAAGGGTGTTTTTTTTCTTTTTTTTTAATAAGGAATAAGGAGTCCAAAACACAGAAAAAAGTGCTCTCCATCACAACAACTCGTATTGGCGAAGGTGCATGCGCTGAATAATGTCCCGACAGTCATTGAAAACCCTCCGGATGTTCTCTGTGTCCACGGCACACGTGAAGTGAGGGTAGCAGTAGTGCCTTCCATCTCCACTTGCTGTGCTGATTCTCTGTGCAGAGCAAGAGACACACACTGGGTTAAAATGAAAATCCCCACTGGGGGAACCCCAACCCGTCCCCAAAGCTCGGCTGAATGAAGGTGAGGTGTGCATGTGTCAGCTGTGCCTTCAAAAAGTGCAACTGAGTGGCAAAATGCCCACAGACTTTTCACCTGAAACATGACATTCAAAATTATCAGAATTATACGGTGAGCTGGTCACTGCAAGCTGGGGAATTTCAGAGAGGAATGAGAACTCAGGAAAATATCATCATTTATACGCAGCTTTGGTGGATTTAGCAACACAACTCCCAGTCCATTTGACCATGAAAAAAGCAGGATTTTGCCTCCCTGTATAAAGTTTTTATCTCTGCTTTACAGAAAGCCTCCCTCAACTTTTTGTTTTACTCCATTTTAAAATGAGCCCACAATTTGATTGCCAGGCTCACCATTACAAATAATTGTACAAATAAACAATATTAAAAAAAATATATGTCCATTATAGCTTCAGCTGACCAGTAATGGGAAAGATATTACAAAAATGACATTAATATCTGACAAATGAGGCATCTCTTGATTAGTCTCTATCTTTAGAAATAACGCATGGAATAAAAATCTGGCCCCACTAATAACAGCAGGACTTCAATCATCATTCTATTTGGGGTTTCTTAATTCTCACCAATTCTTTTAATATTTAATTATGTACAAATATCCAAAAAGCAGCTAAGAAACAGTAGTAAAGCTCATAAATAATGGTAGATGCAGTGGGGATGTTAAGTACAAACAACACAGGAAGTGACAGCACTTTGCAATAGCAGAAGGTGAGCAAGAGCTTGGGTTTGAGAAGAATCACAGAAGAAATAGGCAAAGAAAGGAAATACTTACAAGAAACTCGTCTCTAATAAAATACTTGGCCCTTGTAACTCTGGGATCCTCACCAGGCTCTGGTGTTGCTAATTAATAATAAAATAAGCATCTTATTAACAGGTGTTTTCTGGTAATAGCACCTAAAAATCTCAGCCTGTTCTGTTTTCTGCTCACATATGACAGAAATACACTTGGCAGAACTGACTGTGAGACAAGACAAACCATAACATTATTTAAACCAGCAGGATTTCAGGAGAATAAGGTAATATTACAATGGCCACAGTACCAGGCATTTGGCAGGTAAGAGAAATGTCCACAGGCAGCATTAGGGGGAGTCCCAAGGACACATTTGTGACAAAATGTCAGACTGTGATCTACACCAAAGTAAAAGGATTTTGTCACGATGAAATGATTAATATATTAAATGTTTAAGAGGCAGGAATCTCTCATTATTAATACCTTAAATTAAACATTACTATCTGGCTAAAAGACATTGATGATTGCATCTATTTAAGAGTTTTCAAGTCTTTGCTGAAGCTACCAAAACCATCACGAATGTGATTAACAAGGAAATGAAAAATTGCAAACAAAACTTAAAAATCTTACCATCATCTGGTGTAGTGTAGCGAGCAAATTCTGGAAAGTAGTCTTCAATTTTAGATTTCCCTGCCAAAACTTTCTCTGCTAGCAAATCTTGTTTATTCAGGAAAAGGATTACTGAAATGGTCCGTAGCCACCTGTGGAAAAGGGAAACCAAACACTGTTAGGAGGCACGGCCCAGATCATACAAAAACTTAAAGTAAGTCACACAACATGTCTGGGGATGAGGTCCTGTGACACACTGGAATGATTTGGAAAGGTTCCCTTTATACCTGAATCCCAAGGGTGTAATTGCAGGTGTGCACACTCTGAGGGTGTTCCCCACTTTGTGCTGTTAATCCAAACCCATCCCAGGGGAACATTCCCACCTCCCAGAGCACTGCTCCATCACTACTTTAATTACTTCAGCCTCAATATGGCAACCACCAATTAGTAGCTGTGCAGAGCTGTTTGTAATGATCTGAGTGTAATAAATGTCAGAGGTGGGAGGCTGTGACCAAAGAACCAGCCCAGACTGTGCCAGGAAATGTGAATAACAGAGCCCCCCGTGCTGTTAACCCTGGTGGGAAGCCAAGCACCACACAGCTCCTCACTCACCTTCCTCCTCAGGGGGTGGAGGAGGAGGAAAGGGAGAATGAAAGAAAAAAAATCTGGGGGTCAAGATAAAAATATAAATGATGACTGTTTCATTAGGGAAGGATAAGTAAAAGTGAGGAGAAGACAAAACAAGTGATGCAAAGGCAATCACTCACCACCTCCTGTGGGCAGACCAATATCCAGCAAGCTGCGTAACCTCCCAAAATCCCCTCTTTTCCCCCTTACTGCAGGGAATGTTATGTGGCAGATCCAAACCTCTGGCCAGTTTGGATCTGCCCACCTGTGTCCCCTCCCAACAGCCCTGAGGATTCACTGCAGGAACAGAGTGAGGAACAGAGAGGGCTCTGCACACACTGCTCAGCAGCAGGAGTGTGTTATCAGCGTTGTTCTGGGCAAAACCCAAACCACAGCACTCCATGAGCTGTTCTGGAGAAAATGAAATGAACTTTGTCCCAGCCAGGCCCCTCCAGGAGTGCAGTGTGAGGCAGGATCAGCAATCCCAGTGAGAAGAGCCTTCCACAGACCTGTTGTTCCAGATACTCTTGAAGAGGTTTAGTGCTTCCTGCAGCCGGTTGGTCTGATTGTCCTCTCGTATCACCATGTTGTAGCTACTGCTCGCCACCACAAATATGATAGCAGTCACATCTAAACCAAGAAATACCCTTTAGTTAATGCCAAGCTTCAGAAGAAATATCCAGGAATCATGAAGTTCAATAAGAGGCTGCCAGATTTTCAGCTCCCTGCAGAAAACAGGCCGGGATGCTGTTGCTGACAACATTTTAAGTGCCAGGAATCAAAAAGGAAAGTGAAGAAACCATGGAAGAAAGGCAAAGCAGGCTCCAGAACAGAAGGTGACGGAATGACAGAAAATGTAGGAAAGAAAGGAACTGGACCAAGAGAGAGAAACTGAAGAAAGCCAAAGGGAGAATTTAAAACTAGTCAAGAAAACTGGAAACAACAATGAGCTATCAGGAAAGGACAGGGAGGTCCTTGGGGGAAAACCTCAGGACAAACAGCACTTTTGATTTCTGTAAAGAGTAGTAATAACAGCAGCAGACTGCAGTGAATTTATGGGTAGTTGCAGTGGTCCCCCTGTAGTGAGTTTTACTGCTTAGAGCCCCATGTCTTCCCTGGGAGGCATTCCCAGGATCACAGGGTCAGCATCCCTGTGCTGCTCATCCCTCACTCTGACTGCCAGGCTCATCCACCTCGGGCACAGCAGCAGAACACGAGTCAGACCATGAGGTAACAGGAAGAGGAAGGAGCAGAGGTAAAACCCAAACAAATCTGTCACTAACAGCACAGAAGAAAATACTGCCCAGTCCTTCCACACACAAAGACAGTGTCCAGGTGATTCTGTGACAGGAACTGTAGCAATGTACCATGGATTCCAAGTTGCATTCTGCTTTATTTATTCTCTAGGATCTTGCTGTAACTTTTCTAAAAAAAAGGAGGACTTTTTTATGTAACTTCATTGCTATTTTGTCCAACAACAAAGAAGAGAAAATATTTCCACCAAGTCTAGGTTTATGAAAACCTTTGTGGAAAAAAGCTTCTCATCTAAGCAGATACAGAGTAAAACAAAGAAATGCAGTGAAGGTACCTGTCACACTTCAGGACAGACACAGTCTGCCTAACTGCAGTCATGTGGGAATTAAACCTGACCTGAACTCATGGGGACACTGGTGTTAAGAGACTCCAGCTCTCACCAGATGTGTCTAACCAGAACCAGACAGATGCTCCCTACAGCCTCATTCTGCATTACTGGGCCAGTGCTGATTCAGAAAGAAGCACCACAACAGAGCCAAGTGGCTGCAATTATACATAAAAATGTGATAATCTGATTTTATGCATGTAATAATTACCCTATATTTTGTATTTTGCACAGGCACGTCTGTATGTAAACCTGTATGTGGAAGACAGAACATGGCTTGGAGTTTACACTCTCACAGCTGGCAAATAATGCACAAAGCCACCTCAAAAAATATTTGATTAACTGAAGAGAGGGAATCCAAAGAAATGGACAAACTGAAGTTATCAAATTCCTCTCCACCTGCATTCTCCTTGAAGATGTTCTATGTAGTTACAGGAGCTTACATGTCAAGAAAAAATTCAATCCTGTATGACTGTTAGATAACTCCTTATTATGCTACATAGAAAGATGAAGTTCTCACACACATGAGAAAATGAAGATTAGGCACTACAATTCTGCAGAGAACTATTTTATAAAGCCACCAGAAATTCTAATCCTACCATTAAAACACTGGATCCATTTTCGGCGTTCATCTCGTTGCCCTCCAACATCAAACATACTAAAAAAAAACATAAATCAGTTAGTCAGAATCATTTTGAGCTGAGTTTTTTGTTTGTGTCTGCATGCAAACAGAAAAGGGAAGAAACTTTAGGACTTCTGTGTTATAGAAATTAAAGGGAATCTTGGATTACAAGAACCTGAATAAGTAAGCAGTCCATGAACACATGCATGCAGAGAAAATAGATTTAAAAGATTTTGTTCTTTGTGATTTAAAATAAAGTACACCAATTTGCATTTCATTTTCAAGCCAGACTACTAAATTAAAAAATAATAAAATACTTCCTTTCTATTAAACACTGATACTTGAGAAATACAGTAGGTCCAATGAATATATGGTAGGCTCTCTTCCCAGTTTACCTTGGTATTTGTCTGTGTTGTATTAAAAAAATGTAAAAACATAAAAAAAGAAAATAATTATACTTACTGAAAATTTACTTTATCCACCTGAAACTTGGTTTCAAAAATTCCTGATGTCAAAACTCTGCATCTGAGGAGATCCTAAAGCATAAAGGGAAATGCATTCAGTCAACACAGATACTTGGTGTGTTTCCACATATCCAGCAATGGAAATAAACCCCTTTTTTTTCATGCTGTATCACAACACCAAGCACTGGAACGTTCAGTGCCACAGAAGCATGATGGAAATCTTCTAAGGGATGTAACCTTGTATATAATTTATGTGTATAAACATAATCCAATGGATAAAGCAACTTTTATTGGAAATACTAAAATGTACAATGCATGGCAATACCTGAAATGGCAATTACAAAATGAATTAATTAACCCCAAAGACGAAGGGGGCAGATAAATTGTGTAATTTCCTCAAAAATCTCCACGTACCTGGTCAGATGGGGTGTACTCATTCTGTTTGACTATGTCAATCTTGTCTAGAAAACTGGGGAAAGGAAAAGAAAAAAGAGAAACTCATTACTCCCAAATCAGACAAAATTTCTGATGCTTTAGTAACTGACAGTTCCCAGGTAAATTCTGGTGCATTTTAATTCCCTCAGGCTCACAAAAGGATGAAAAATCTCATGCTGGAAAGGCAAAATTTGGGTTTTTGTGCTCAGGAGGAGCGCTGCCAGCAGCAGCCAGCAGAGGGATGAGAGCAGCGGATCCATCTGGGAATGCCAGGGAGCCCCTCCCGCCACAAACACCCCGGCAGTTTAATTTGGGTCATTTATTCACACAACGTAACCTGCTGCTTATTCACGGTGAAGCAATGACTCAAGCAAATTGCCCACATGTACTTCCCCTGAAAGTAAAATGAGTATTTTTTAGAACAACTTAACTCTATAGTTCTTTAGATAAATGAAAGCCCTAAAGCAATTTCAGTACAAGTTCAGTTAAGTGAGAGGGGACACTGATTTTTCAGTCAGCTGCTGTATCAGTGTTTCAGTTACTTTCTGGAGCAGCAGCATTAGTTGGCTAAATGGGTAATAAGAGATATATTTCAAATTCATTAGGCACTATCTACAGATGATAACTCTTGCGTATTTATTTTTTTAATCAATTAACTATAGCCTCATAATTATCTTTCATTTCAACTCAAAGAGCAAAAAATCTCAGGGATATAGTGAATTCTGCTTTGTTGTGGTGGCAAACCAGCAGCTCAGGATGCAGATTTAATGGTGTTTGTCCCAGTCCCACTGCCCAGCCAAGTCTTCAGCCAGGTGCCCCCTGGCTCAGCCCTTCCACTTCAGCAGTGCATTAATGTCCCTAACATTAATCATTAATCAGCCTTTAAACCAATAGGCCTTGAGCTCCTCTGGAAATTCCTCTGCATGAACTGTTTTCTCTCTGAAGCAGGAATCACAAAGGAAAAGGGAGTTTTCCTTGCCTCTTTAATGTGCACTAACAACAGTCACAGCTTCAACGGGGGAAAACCTGTCCCAGATTCACAAATCAAAAACCCCCAAAAAATTGCCATTAAAGCCACCACACAACTCGGCCCCAGTTTCAGCCCCAAAACTTCCTAAAACACCTAATGAGAAGCAGGGAAAGGGGAAAAAATAATCCTGTATTTTGATAACTGCATCAGTGCAATGCCCTTTTCTAGAAGATCTTGCTTCAGAGACACATGAAAATTAATTTTTGTTTAGACTGAGTTACAGAATTTTAAACATATTAAAATGTATCTTAAGTTAACACGCTACAAAAACACGTGAGACAAAGTGCAAAGTTCAGTTTCCATCATGGAACGTGACATGGCCACAGACTCACAAGGATAAAGTGGTGACAAACTGTGCTCTGCAATTTGCAAGCTGGATTTTTTCCTCATATCTTCCAAGCTGTTAAGTCATTTTTTCTTTTTTTTTTCTTTTTTTTTTTTTAAATCCAAAGGGAAAATACAAAACTCTCTGTTCAGTACACAGAGGATGTTAAATAAGTACAACAGCCCTGAGTTCCAAGGAGCACGAGTGTTTCCACCCCATCCTCTCCCCTCAGAGCACAGTTTCAGAATCACGTGGCAATTTCACAAGTTGGAGGATGCTTGAAAAATGTTCTGAACAGAACATGTTCATCAAGATACAAAGGTGATTACTGCAATCACCCAGTCTTTCTGTATGAATTTATCCAAGCAGAACATTTTATGCTGGGTTCCACAAGAGGTGGGTTTTTGGTTCGTT